CGATTCTTGCGAGTCGACAGATACAAGGTATCAACAAGCGCTTTTTCCGGGCTGGCTATGAGGTAAGGCAATCGTGATTCACTCCACTGCGCACCTTGCCGCATCAACTCGGGTTTGATCTGGAAAAATTCGAAGCTGGCAACGGGGGACTCAAGCACACGCCCCCGACCTGTCGTGGCAATCTGAATCGTCTTGGGAATTTGCGATATCACCTGGTGTATGTGAAGTGCCGTCAAGAACGAAACGTAACCCTGCTCCTTCCCCAGTAAATAAGGCACACAGGATAGCGGGTGAAAATAGGGGTGAAAAATGTTCGCCCAAACACCCTTGGTGACTTTTGTCAGTTGCCCCTTTCCAGCAAGACGTGTCAGCCGCTTGGTTGCAGCCGACATCGATACACTGCTATGAGTCGCAAATTCACGGGTGGTAAAAATGACAAAATCTTCGGTGTTAAGTGATTCAGTCATTGGTCTCGAGTTCGTTCAATACCTGGTTTTGCAGAATTTCCCAGGCCGACTTGTCACCAAATTCTGTACGGCTAGCGTCATCCAGGAACTCCACGACTTGTCCCTCGTAGTCCTCCCACTCAAGACTCATCAAGCAATCCAGCGCTGTCGCGTACTCAATATGGGTCAACAGTTTTGACCACGGCGCCGGTGGGCTATACCCACCCTGGATCAGGATACCGAGATCAAATACGTCTCTTGCTTGTGTAACAGGTCGACCAGCCAGTGCCCGCAATTTTTGAATCACCGCAGCCGAACCAGTGTAATGCGGACAGCGATAGGACAATTTTCGATAGGCGCGGGCAATCGCCGTGTCGATCAGCGCTGTCTCGGCCTCGCCTGCCGCGCTATGATTCCGTCGCGAGAATTCGACCTTCGTCGGAAGTCGGTTACCGGCTACTGTCAACAGTGCGAAACGGAATCGTTGCGTTGTATCAGTCTGTTTGGCTTTCGCCGGGTCATTGATTTCAATGTCCACAATATCGAAAGAGCGGAGGCTGCGCATGAACGCGCGATCGCTCAGAATCTTGTAGCCGTTTTTCTTCAATGTCTGGACACCACCGGCCAGTACATCGATATCCATATCTTCGGAGTATCGAGGGCTATTGAAAAAGAAACGCAGATTAACCCCGCCTTTTAGAATGTAGAGACCGGGATCAGATAGTTTCAGAAGTCTTTCCAAAAAGTGGAAATGAAAGACCTCTCGAATTTGCGTGTCTGAGAACATATTTAATTATGCGTTCATATTGCCATATATGTCAATCCATCCGCATAATTAAACAGATTGGCTAACCTGTGCATAGCGAATTAGTAGTCACGACAAAATATCAATGAAAATAGCAGCATGAGATCTGTGATTCTGCTTGCTGTTCATGTCTTAGTGGTTTTCGCCAGGATGCTCCGGCCCGGTGGCATCAGATCGATCATCGCTGAAAACCTGCTGCTCAAACAACAACTCATCGTGCTGGGTCGATCTAGAAGGAAGGCACCCAACCTTAAAACAAGTGACCGTTTCATTTTAGGTGCATTGTCTCTATTCATTTCTGCCCGCAGACGTTTATCCGTTGCCGTAATTATCCAACCCTCTACACTTTTGAAGTTTCATCGTGCCTTGGTCAAACGCAAATATCGCCGCTTGTTCAGCAACAAAGGTCACCGACAACCCGGGCCTAAAGGTCCATCGCGGGAACTCATTGCGGCCATCGTCGAACTGAAGCAGCGCAATCCCCGCTATGGTTGCCCACGCATCGCATACATCGTCTCCCTTACTTTCGGCTTTGAGATCAACAAGGATGTAGTACGCCGCGTGCTCGCCAAACACTACAAGCCAAAGCCAGGCAACACACAAGGTCCCTCATGGCTATCGTTACTCGGTCACAGCAAAGACAGCCTTTGGAGCATCGATCTGTTTCGCTGTGAATCTTTAACGCTTAAGTCCTATTGGGTTCTGGTTGCCATGGACCAATACAGCCGCAGAATCATTGGTTTCGGCATTCATCAAGGACCTGTAGATGGTGTGGCCATATGCAGAATGTTCAACCGCGCTATTTCGGGGAGCGATCCACCCCGCTACCTCAGTAGCGACAATGATCCGCTTTTCCAATTTCATCGCTGGAAGGCAAATCTGCGAGTCCTGGAAGTAACGGAGATCAAAAGTCTTCCGTATGCGCCTATGTCTCATCCGTTCATCGAACGAGTGATCGGCACCATTCGACGCGAATATCTGGATCACATGCCTTTCTGGAATTCCCTTGACCTTGAGAGAAAACTGGACGAATTCAAAGACTACTACAATAACCACCGTACACACGCAGCCCTCTCCGGGCTTTCACCGGCAAAATTCGTTCAACAAGCCAACCAGGCATACGTCAATATCAACGACTATGGTTGGCAACAACATTGCCGCGGATTATTCCACACGCCAATTCCTGCGTGAGCACCAATTCGCCACCTACAGGTCTGTATCAAAAGTTTCGTCGTTTTGTTGCCCGGCACCGTCCATCCACCCGCTCGCTGGTCACACTTTATTTCGCATTGATCTCGCCGGCTGTTGGGTTGGCTGTTGTGTTGGTTTACCTGTTTCCGCAATTCGCGCAGATGTTCATCCTGCCACACTGCCATGACGCACAATGCGGTACTCACGCAACCCTGATATCTGCACCCTCAGTGGCGAGCACGATTTTTCTCACCGTGATATCGCTGCTGTTTTGTGCAAGCGTTGTAGGGCTGACTCGTCTCCTGCTGAATGGCAGACGCCGCCTCGCCACCTTATTCCTGTTGGGTGACCGAGTCAGAAGTAAACCAGATTATCTGATTCTGGACAGTGACCAGATTTTTGCCTGGTGTTGCGGCTTCATCAATCAGCGTCTGGTACTGTCAAAGGCGCTGGTCGATCGATTGGACGCCGCGCAATTAGAAGCGGTGCTTGCGCACGAACAGGCACACGCTGACCGCTTTGACAATCTGCGCAATCTTGCGGCACGCCTGGCCAGTGTGTTCTGGCTTCCGTCGCGCAGACAAAAGCTGCTTGAAGACCTCCACCAGGACAATGAAGAATGTTGTGATGCCGCTGCCGTCAGGCACCTGACGGACAGAGCACGCGAGCCACGCGCAATTCCCGCATACCTTCTTCTAAGCGCCGCCTGGTCATTACAGTTGCTGGCCGCATCCGCCGTAAGCCACCCTATTGTGGAAATTGTTACGGCGTTGGGCGGGTAACCCTTTTGAACATTTACTGATTTTTGGATCACCACCAAAAGCGCTGCCTCAGTCTGTTAACTACGAGTCATAAGGCGCAAACCAGATAGGAGAAGACCAGACTCGCTCCTGTAACGTTGCCTGTAAATCAGCCCGTGGCGGCACGCCTTTACGCAGCGCATCCCACGTTGACCAACGACAAGTGGGATTTTCGAGCGCGCGAACGTAATAGAATGCTCTCTCCTGTGGATTGAAGTCTGGATCCTGCCAGAGCGTTGCCAATTCGGCTGCGCCAGCCTCCTTAGCTATGGAGCAGTCCGTTACATCAACCCTTGCACCATTGTCTGGACATCGCAAGGTCTGAGGGTCCACCTGCCCTTCTGAGCACGCCACGTCAAAAACTGTCTCCTGCAATTCCCCATCGACCATCGCGCCTTTGATCACCTGCAACCTCTGTAACGGCGCACTTAAGGCGTCTTGCGCAGCCCATACCGCAAAACTGGGCGCCTGGTCTTTACGGCCCGGCAGATCGCTACCCATCGTCACACCACGCTCATAAGCCACCTCTACCCAGTTTGACTGACGCACCAAGTCTGCTGGGAAATCATATCCAGCGAAAAAGCGTACGCGTAATCTCGGCCCTGAAGTGGCAAATGTTTCTTTGCGCCTGAATGCATCAAAGATCGAATCTCTTGTGTTTTCCTCAGCCCATACACCTGCGAGGCCGGAAGCGCTCCAGAGTCGAAAATAGCTATCGTTGTATACATCGCCTTCAACTTCGACCACCCCAGCCATGTCGTTGTCACGGGCAATCGCAAGGGCATCCTCTCCAAGCGGCACCGAAGCGCGCTGACTTGGCAGGGCATCGAGCAAACCAACCTTGGAGAAGAAATTGTCTTCATCAAAGGAACCAGCGCCGGTATGGGTATCACTGGAACCGATCAGACCAAATTTGTACGGGTTGGAACCAAACTCAGCTTCCATCGCTATGCCGCGTAGATAAGCCTGCCGTACATAGCTTCCGTCAGGCTCACTAGGCAGAGTTGAAGCGATCCGATAGGGCATGATCTCAAAATCTGCCCACTCGTCGTTCGGCGACAGCGCTGGGTGGGTATCGGAAGTGCCTTTCACCTGCGTGACCTCTACCAGAGGTTCGTTGCGCGTACGCAGGCGCGCATACTCGCTATCTATTGGGTTACCGCGCCAGTCAGTGAGCATGAACATGGCGCCGTTCGACCCATTCGAATTGTGTGGTATGGCGATACTGTCTATTCCACGGGCGCGAAGATCATCCATCCAGCGCCAGAGTCCTTCTGGGTTCTGCGAATGAAACCGTGAAAACGGAATCTCCGGAACACGATCGCCGGTACGGAAGATCACATTACGGTGCAGATTACCCCCTTCATCCGTTGTGCTCGTGTATTCATACCCAACGAATGTGGTGAATTGGCCTGGATCATTGTGCTGTTCCGCCGCGTCTATAATGTTTCTCCACGCCGAACGAGCGATACCGTTGATCAGATCTCGACTGATGGTGCCATCATTTACGCCCTGGATTGTGTTTGGAATAAAGGTTGAGAATCGCTCGCGCCGCTCAGCTGAACTGTCGGTAGACATGTTTTCGGCCCGGTTCAAATCATGAAACGGCTTTGACATGGCCAGTTTTGCAAACTCTGTACGGGTGTCAGCTGCCTGTGCTATCGCACCAAGAAACATAGCGTGGTCTGTCACCCCATAAAAATCCAAAGGCGCTTTGAGCTGCATATCAAAGCCCGCAGGATGTTGAATAGCTTCACCTTTGGCATAACGGTAGGCGTCACCTGCCGTTGCGATGGTGCCGAAAGCAAATGCATCAAAACTGTATCGAGTATGCACATGTAAATCGCCAAACAATGCCTGTCTGGTGGCACTGTACTCCGGGTTGACCGGCGTGGTATCAAGTGCTGTATCAAACAGTTCCGGCCGCGGTCGCGGCGCTACATCATGACCATCTTCGAGCTCCGCCATTGCTCTGTCGCTGGAGTTCGACTGAGCCGCCTCTACTTCTTCATGAAAACCTTCGCCGCAACCGGCCACCATCATGGCAATAACTATTAATATGGTCTGCTTGTTCATCGTCACCCCATTGGTTGTTGTTGCTCATCTGTTAAATCGCGTAACCGTTTCTACTCATTTTGAACAACGTCATCACTCGAACTCAATCTGCGCAATAGCGATACCACTCTCACCAGCTGCTGAATACAACAAAAAGGTTTCGCCAGCTTCCTGATAGATCGCTGGGTCTCGTAGCTGGTTGACGGGCACACCTGTATATCCGGCTTTTGAAGCTCTGATTGGCAAGTTAGCGCCTTCCCATTCCATTTAAGGCCGCAGAACTTCAACCGGCTCTGTTGCCTGCCAGTCAAGCCAGTCTCCCTCGAGCTCAATAGTGGCAAGCAGAATCTGTTCAGGCGCATCTCCCCTTCGGCTAAAAAACACATACAAAAGTCCATTGTGAATCAACAATGCCGAATGACGCATCGCGTCCGAAAAGAAACGTGGGCCCGCTGCAAAGTTGCTTAAGCCATCACGCGAACGGTACAGATAACCAGGTATGCTCAATGCGTAGTAGTAATTGTCATGATGAATAACCCGAAAATAGGGCCGGCCCAACACCGTCGGATCGCCCACAAAATGAATACCATCATTAGATAGCGCCAGCCTCGTCAACTGCCTGCCATCATCTCTACCGTGGAGGTACATAACGATCTTTTTAAGGTCGTGGCGCACGTGGACATCAGGTGAGGCAATGTGCGCATAAACAGGCGCATCACTGCCCGGTGCTTGTGAGCATGGTGGGCAGGTAGTGGGAAAGTAAGAGTCTTCCAGCCCCAGAGTCCCCGGCGCATAGACAGTCCACGGTCCCGTAATGGCGTCAGCGTAAGCCATGCGAATATAGTCACCGCGGTGATCTGCAAAATACAGATAATAGGCACCCAGTGGTTCCTCTACCCAGTTGGGCACTTTAATCAGGGATGGCCCTTGGATATTGTTGCCGATGCTTTCGTACGTTTCGGGAGAGATGATGGGACCATCACCTAATCGGGATATCGAGATATCTTCCGGCTCAGCAGCAAAAACGCAGGCAGACAGAACACTGCCACTGAGGGGCCAAAGACAGCAGCAGAGATGCCGCAGCGAATGATGTTTGCGTGATTCCATAAGCATTCGATGTACTAACGCGTCGGATGACCGCCGACCCAGATCGGGCTGGACCAACCCATGGCTTCGTTGGCCTGACGAACCCGCATGAAATAGTAGTCTCCGTGTCCTGCCGCAGTATCGTCATTAAACTCAAATTCCACGTTCAGTGGTGCAGCCGGATTCGTGCGAGTGAGTTCTACGGCGTCAGCAAAGCTGTCAACAGGCATGGGATGCTGTAGCGTCCCCGATTTCAGATCAGACAATCTCAGCGTCACCTCTTGACCCGGAATCGTTTTAGGCGCTCGCAGGAATGGGGGAGCGCTACCTGTTTCTGTAGTAGCGTCCAGTTCTAACAAGAGGTGCCCATCAGAACTTACATTGCGCAGGGTTAAGGCAATCGAACTGTGATCACCACGACTTTGTGTCTTGAAGTAAAAGTGATTCGCGTTTTTTTCATCTCGCTGAAGTTTCTGGGTATTGCGATTGTGTTCATCAACCAGTTGAGCCGTTACCACCTCTGCGCCTTGCACACGAAGAACACCGTGCCAATGACGCCATCCACGAGGGTTGTCGGAAACTTCACCTGGGTGCGACTGTGAACTGAAAGACAAAGCCAGATGCTCGTGTGCACCTTCAGACTCCGCTATCTGATCATAATTCTCAGACCACAAAACACGGTCGTTTTTCAGCACGGTGATGTTGCGAATCGGTGCCGTACCCACTACTCGCCCGTGTATCAGGCGCTCATCCGTATATGGCGTTCTCTGCCCCATATGCGCATCGTTAACTTTGAAATCAAGGAGCATGCGATCGCCGCTGCTGGCATAGGTAGACAGACCACGCATGGCATCGAAGATCTCGTCGTTGGTCCGCGCGCCAGCCCAGACACCAGCCAGACCGCCCTTTTGAGCCAATGTATCGCGCCAGGGAATTGAGTATCCGGGCTTGGCAAGGTGATCATCCGATGCAGCAACAAAACCAACCTGGTGGCCATGTTTCAGGTACATGCGACCAAACCACTCGAAATTGCCATGCATCGACATGATCTCAACCAGCGGCTCCAATTCCGGATCAGACTGTCGGTAATCGCCTGTGTTGTCGGCATTTGGAATAACCACAATATCCTGCGGATCGTTGGCCGCGCGCAAGCCCGCATACAGTCGTGACAATGTTGGAAACATTGTCCCAGGCACTGTTGAACGGCCTTCCGGCGTGCGGAAGAGTACGTTATGGTGACCACCCTGAGGATTTGAGATCGTCCATTCGTAACCAAGGTAAGGTATAAAATGCCCGTTCCTGTGGTACTTGCGCACCGGTGTATCACCGGGTTTTCTCGATGTTGCCGAGGGTTACTCATAAGATTCCAGCAGCGCCTGATAGGTGGCCACCCGGAGCTCCGGACGGTAGGACCGCCAGCCGCCCAAGAGTTGCATCATGCTGACTACCACCATGTTCTCCACCGGATCGATCCAAAATACCGTTCCGGAGGCGCCGCCCCAGTAGTACTGACCGACGCTGCCGATTACACCCTGCTCAGTGGTGCTGGTCACCAAGCCAAAGCCGAGTCCAAAACCGAAACCCATGAGCGCATCCCCCGCCAGGTTAGGTTGTTCGCCACTGCCACCACCCCCGACGTTGGGCGGCAGGTGATTCACGCGCATGTAATTCACCGTCTTCGGGCTGAGGATCCGCACACCGTCTAGTTCTCCGTCTCGCATAGCTTCGGCATAGCGCACGTAATCCCTTAATGTAGAGACGAGGCCAGCACCACCGGAAAACAGTGTCACGTTCTCATAGTCGCACAAGGCCTTGCAGTTTTTCAGTATCCTTGGTGCCTGCGGCATCAATTCTTCGGCGCCTTGCATCGCGACCGCCTCCCCTTCCTGGTTGAGGAGATGGTTCGGCAGAAATCGATGCGCCTTGTCTGCAGGCACGCTGAATGAGGTATCCACCATATCCAGGGGTTCGAATATGTGCTCCTTGAGGTATTCATCAAACGGCTGACCGCTCAACCGTTGCACCACTAAGCCGGTTACGTCCACCGCCACCGAGTACTGCCAGCGTTCACCGGGCTCGAACATCAGCGGCAGTTGGGCAAGCCTGGCGATAAAGTCGTCCAGGTCTTTCGCGCCCCACAAGTCCGCCTCGACGTACATCTTGTCGACCGGATGAGTCGGGTCAAAGCCGTAAGAAAACCCGGCCGTGTGGTTGAGCAGTTGTTGCATGGTCATCCCTCGTGCCGCCGGCCTCAACTCGCCGTCTTCATACACGTTGAGGTTTGCCAGCTCAGGAACGAATTTCGAAACCGGATCGGTAAGCTGAAACTTACCCTGCTCATAGAGTTGCATCGCAGCGGTAGCGGTGATGGGTTTGGTCATGGAGTGGATACGAAACAGATCGTCCATCTGGATGGTGCGCTGATCATCCACACCCTTCACACCAGCCGCACTCTGGTGCACGATCCTGCCGTTTCTGACCACCGCAGTCAGGATACCGGCGATTTTTCCGCTATCCGTGTAGCGTCGGTTCAGCTCCTCCACTTGCTGTAGACGCTCTTCGGACATTCCTTGCCGCTCGGGTGCGCTGGTGCGGATTTCGGCAGCCTGGGCGGCCGACATCAGAAGAGCTCCCACAGCGCTCAACATCAGCAGGCGTGTATTCGACATTTAATAGTTCTCCCTTCTTTAGGTGCAATCTTACGCATGCTCCCGCTGCCTCACTTATGCAGGTCCACGCCTTGCGTTTCGCCATTCTCGCGCCTGCTCTGCAACAGTGCAATGAATGCGTTCGGACCCGGTGCACCGATTTAGTTCTTCTGATCCGTGCGCGGGTTTCATGTGCCGTTGATTCGATCCAGCCGCATTCATGGTTCTGTAGTAAAGGGCTTCCACTTCAGCACGTTCGGCGCGACCGTCATTGTTGGTATCCAGCAATGAGAAAATCCCAGGCAGCACTTCATCTTCGGTCAGCACCCCATCAGCATTCAGGTCGCCTTTCATCAGGCCGTCTACCATTGGATTGGGCGCATCGCCGGCGAGTACTGCCAGCGACAAAGTGGCGGCAAACGCCGCCACTGCGAGAGTCGTGAGCCTGTATGGATTCAAAGTCTTCGCTTTAAGCGCTGGTGTCTGTCCAAGCCAGGTACTCCTAGGGTCTCAGCCTCAGCATGAACTCCCCATAGATGTATCTGGGTGTGTTGCGAGTGTAGAAGCCAAAATCGGGGGCATTGAAGGTCTTGTAAGAGTAGTCGGTCAAGTTGTCGCCGTTGATGAAAAACGACCAGCTGTTGGTCTCCAGGCCGATGCGCGCGCCTAAACGCTTCACCGTGTCCTGCGCAGTCGGGTCGGTGTTCGTCAGAGTTACATGACCACCTTCCTCGTAGGTGTAGGTCAGGCTGCCGACCAGCGCCGCGCCATCAAAGCCCGCCACGTTGCTCAAGCCACCAAGCATCTGCCGGTACACGGCCGAGCCTTTGATCTGATTAGGCCGCAGGAAGGGCAGTTTCGCGCCATCTGCATCCGCAGCGGTGGCCGCGGACACGTTGTCGCCGAGACTCTTCACTTCACCCTTACCCTTCGCATAGCCGAGATTCAGCAGCAGGGTGCCGCCGAAGTCGAACTGAGCGCGATAGGTGCCTTCGATCTCGAATCCCCAGGCATCTGCTTTGCCCACGTTATCGATGAAAAACGCCGTCGGTACCTCTTCGTTGGGCGGAATGGGCAAGCCGTTGGCGTCTTCGCCCACCCGGCTGCCGTCCGGGTTGAAGCCGAGTCCGTTGCCGTTGACGTCCACCAGCTGGCAGTCGCTCGGGCAGCCGTTGTCGGAGGTGTTTAGGAAGTCCTGGTATTCCGTGTAGTAGACGGCTGCGTTGACGCTCAGCGCCCGGTCGAACCAGCTCGATTTGAGACCAAGCTCGTAGGTCATGGAAGTTTCTTCACCATACGTCAAGCTGGTGGGAAAGCGCTCCAGACCGGGAGATCCTGCGAAATCGTTGATTCCGCCCTGGCGATAGGACGAGGCGATCTTGACGTAGCTCATGAGATCTCGTTCCGGGAAGCGGTAGGCGGCGGTCACGGCCCAGGGCAGATTGGTGAATTTGTCGTCGCTGAAGAAATCCGTCTCGGGATTGACCGGATTGTTCCTGTCCGGCACGCCGGGCTGATCGCGGACCCGGTAGGCCACCACGCCGCCTTCGATTTTGTCCTCGGCGTAGCGCAGTTCACCGGTCACGGTCAGTGGAATCGAATCGAAGGTGTATTCGGCCACGCCGAACGCTGCCCAGGAATCGGCGGACATAGTCAAGGTGCGCATAAACGCGTTGGCAAAGAGCTGTCCGCCCCATTGGTCGCCGCGTTCCGCGTTGTCATGACTGAAGTAATCGACGCCCACCAGCCAATTGAAGTTGGCGCTGCCATCGGCCACATAGCGGATTTCCTGGAAGAAGATCTCGTTGTCGACCCGGGTAACGGTCTCTCGGAGGAGCCCGTTCAACGGAGCGGGGAAAAAGTGGTCCCAGTCCTGCGAGTGGGTGATTTGCCGTTCCCGGTAGTTGCTGACGCTGGTCAGCACGCCGCCACCGAGCGTCCAGTCGATGACCAAGTTGTGGTTGTCCACGTCGTTGTCCCACTGGTTCGGCGTATTGATCGGGGTGTCGAAGGCATCATCCAGATCAGGGGTCAGCGTCGATCGCACCCAAACCGCAGTACCGAGCTCTTCTTTCTGGGTGTCGAAGACATAGTTGATACCCCATTGTTCACTGGGCTGATAACGCAACGAGATCCGGGTGTGGTTGAAGTTCTCTGGATCCACATCATCGCCGTTGACGTCGTTGTAAAAACCCTTGTCGCGGTCTTCGTAGAGGTGGCTGGCGCGGATGGCGAACTGGTCGGTAATGGGGAGATTGAGCTTCCCTTCGTAACGCTGCAGGTCCTTTTCTCCGAGCGACACACCAAGATCGATCTCGAACTGATCAGTGGGCTTCTTGCTGATCATGTTCATGGAGCCGCCGAGCGCGTTGCGGCCATACAATGCGCCCTGAGGTCCCCGCAGCACTTCGACCCGTTCCAGATCGTAGGTGTCCAGGCGGGCGAAATTCTTGCCACCGAGACTGTTGGTGGCGAAGTAGGCGCCGTTACGGTAGAGGCCGGTGGCGGAGACCGAGACACGATTCCGGGCTTGACCGGCACCGCGAATGGTCGGCTCGATAAGCGATGCGTCCTGGGTCTCGTTGATGCTGATACCGACAACCAGGTCGGTGATGTCCCGCAGGTTAGAGACCCCGCCCACATCATCGATGAAACCGGAACTTAAGGACGCGGCGGATGCAGGCACATCCTGCAGGCGCTCGCTGCGTTTTCGCGCGGTGACCACCATTTCCTCGATGAGTGAATTTGATTTGGCTTTGGCCGATTCAGCGCCGACGCTGTCTGCTGCGTGCGCCGCTCCGCTCATAACAATCGCAACCAACACCGCGCCGATGCGGCCGCCGATGCGGCCAGAGAATGATCCTCTTGATCCTTGCGCTCCCATCACCATCACGAAAAGAAACTTTCGCAGCCGCAAGGCAGAATATTGTTTTGTCTCCATATCTAACTCCCCAGATATTCCCCATGAAAAGACCTGCGGGACGGCCAGCAGGACACCGAGGCCATTATGTGAACATCTTTTCATGTTTTCAACAATAAATGTGAACTTTATTTCACTTTAATCCGCGACCCACTACAATGATCTCAGCGAGATTTACGAGACAGGCAATGCAACTAACCGTTGATTTTTTCCGCGCCTTGATCATTTGCATGACTTTATGCCTGCAAAGCGCTGCCGCATCCGCATCAATCACTCCTGAGCGCAAGGCTTTCTTCGGCGACCTGCACGTCCACACCAAGTATTCTTTTGATGCCTTCATTTTTGGCACCCGGGCTGACCCGGACGACGCCTACCGCTACGTCAAAGGTCGCGCTTTGGAGCATGCTTCCGGTATGCGTATGCAACTGGATCGCCCCTTAGACTTCCTTGCTGTAACCGATCACGCTACTTATCTCGGCATGCTCCCGGAAATGGACAATTCCGCGTCCAGCGTGGGCCAACACCCGCTCTCTATCGCTCTGCGAAATGCCAACTCCCCCGCCGCGCGCAGTCTGGTTTACGATGAATTACTGCCTCGCGAACGGGGTTACATTGACTTTGAAGACGACCTGCTTGACCTTGACGTTGTACGTACAGCGTGGGCTGAAATCATTGCTGCAGCTGAGAGGCACAATGAACCAGGCAGTTTCACAACCTTCATAGGTTACGAGTTCACGGCAGGCGGACGGCGCGGTCAGAACCTGCATCGCAATGTGATTTTTGCCGGTTCGGATGCACCGCCACTGCCCTTCAGCAGACTCGACGGTGACAACAACCCTGAGCTGCTATGGGACTGGATGGATACCTTGCGCACGCAAGGTATCGACACCCTTGCGATTCCCCACAATAGCAACGGCTCTGACGGCTGGATGTTTGAGTTAACAGACCGCTCCGGCAACGCAATTGATCAGGTATACGCGGAAAAACGCATGCGCAATGAACCGCTGGTGGAGGTCACGCAGGTCAAGGGCACATCAGAAACTCATCCCCTGCTGTCACCGAATGACGAATGGGCAGGTTTCGAGATAATGAACTACACCATCGGATCCGGCGTTCTGGCACAACCCAGCGGTGGCTATGCACGTGAGGCCTACCTGAACGGGCTGGCGCTTTCCAGAACACTTGAAGGCAACCCTTACCGCTTCGGCCTCATAGGTTCTTCAGATACACACAATGCGGCAGGGAGTTTCGAGGAAGAAAACTACTGGAGTAAGAGTGGCCTGCTCGATGTGGAAGCCGAACAGCGCGGCTCTGTTCCTGATCCGGACAGCAACATTTACGCGGACTCGGTGCGACGCTTCTGGAGTGCGTCGGAGCTGGCTGGAGTCTGGGCGGAGGAGAATACACGTAGCGCGCTGTTCAAAGCTTTCAGACGCAAAGAGACATTCGCTACCAGCGGTCCACGCATCAGGTTGCGGATGTTTGCTGGCCATGAGTTGGATCCATCCATAGAGCAGCTGGAAAATAGTACTGCGCAGGCTTACGCCCTTGGTGTACCTATGGGCGGAGATCTTGGCGCCGCAAACACCAACACTTCGCCGCAGTTTTTTGTCTGGGCGATTCAAGATGCGGCAGCAGCACCGTTAGAGCGAGTTCAGATAGTAAAAGGCTGGACAGACGGCGGAACCGTTCATGAACAGGTGTTTGATATCGCCTGTGCAGACGGCACAAAACCCGCAGGTCCTAACTTTCGCTGCACTTCAGATAGCGGCATCGATATCTCTGTATGCGAACGGCACGGACATGGCGGTGCTGCGGAGCTGAGAACATTCTGGCAGGACCCCGACTTTGATTACCAACAGCGCGCTTTTTACTACGCTCGAGTGCTGCAGGTACCGACATGTCGCTGGTCAACCTGGGACGCGATTCGCGCAGGCGTGCCTCCACGACCGGACATACCAGCGCGCACTCAGGAGCGGGCATGGTCTTCGCCTATCTGGTATTGGCCAACATTGAACACTATGTAGCTATATAGGCAGGATACATACGGCCGCTTTGCTCCTGTAAACTGCCCCGCTTTTAAGAAACAAGGGATGAATGCCATGGAACAGTCTGATTATCTTAAGGTGGCGGCCGAGGAAGGATGGCTGAAAAGTGCAACACAGAAACGCTCCAGGGATATGTGCGAACGTATACTGGAAGCCGCTTTTGTGGTGTTCTCGGAAAAGGGTTATCGCGACACGAATATTGTGGACATTACCGGTCTAGCAGGATGTTCTGTTGGCATTTTCTATAAGCGTTTCACCGACAAAGAAGGGCTGTTTTTCACGCTGCAGCACCGCCATTTCAGTGGGTCACGGGCCCGATTTGATATGATCACCGACGCCCGGGATACAGATACAACTGCGGATATTTTTCGCGGGTTTGTAAATCGTTCCAGGAAGTTCATGTTTGCCAACACAGGCTTCATCAAGGCACAGGTTGAACTGGCCCTGAAGAATCCGAAGGTCGCAGATGCCCGAAAGGCGAACCTTGTTTATGCTGCCGACCGGCTGATGCAGGTTCTCGTTAGTCGAGGCGAACTGCCAGACAGTAAAGAACTGCGCAAAAAACTGGAACTTGCGGTACGAGTGGTGTTTGCCACGCTTACCCATATGGTGCTTTTCGGCCCAGGTCCATACCCCATCAAAGACAAACGCGTACTCGAGAATCTTACAGATATTCTCGTCGGCTTTCTTCATGAAGAACAAGATCGATTAGGGATTTTATGACGCTGCCATACGGCTTAATTGAACCTGCCAACCATCTCGATGATAGATTGAACAGTCAAATATGAAATGGTCTATACAATTAGCGCTACTGTGCACCCTGGCCGCGGTGGTCGGACCATGGGCAGCAGCAAACCCGCACAACGATTCAACTATGCTGTTGCAGTCCGCAGCGCCGCTACGCGCAGTGGACATTGGCGATCCGCCTAACGTACTGTTTATTATTGTAGATGACTTGAACCTCGCACTGGGATCCTATCTGATTTCGGATCCACGCCAACAGTACGCCAGCGCCGCCACGCCGAATCTCGATGCATTGGCTGCTGAAGGCGTACGCTTCAATCAGGCGTTTGTGCAGAACCCGCTGTGCAACCCATCCCGAGCCTCCACGCTCAGCGGCTAAGCGCAGCGCCTCTTTCAAATCCGGATCCATACGGAAAGTCAGGGTGGCCGTTTTGGCGCCAGGCATGGCGAGTCCTCAAGAGGCGGTACCGAATGTGCTGTAATCTACAGTACATTTAATCTAAATCATATAACCCTTAACAGCGCAGCCGAGATAGGTTTCCGACAGGTGTTTTGCTGCAAGAGAATTGGCTCTATTTTTCGCCTCTGCGCGGGGATACAGGGCATTTTCGGCTCTTTATAAGCCGAATACTTGCTTATATCCTTTGCTGAAACGTTCTGAACCGGGGTTGGGCTACGAAAGGTCAAATATCACGTAATCTGGTTTTAGGTTTTTCTCTTTATCCCATTGTTTTTATTGGTTTTTTTGTATTTTGTCTATATATATTCGTAGAGAGGAACAAGAATATTGTTTAGAATCAGTAAGTTAGTAAAGAAACGCTTAGAAGAGCAGAATTTTTCGATACTCGCTGAGTATGTGTTTTAGGCGTTCCTTGGAAACAAAGTTGCCCAAAATCCAATTCCCCAAGGCGTAATACTGCTCCTGCAGCCTGTTTTCGGGGACTTCCGGTTGCTCACTTCCCCACATGTTCTTGCCTGAGTGTGAGGCCAACGACGCGAGCAACCGTGCGATATAAGCCTCACGTTTATCTCGGTCATCGATACTGTTTACCACGTGCTTGATCGCAGGCTTTGTCTTCCGCGTATCAGAGACCAGTTGATCCACAGTCAGTAGCAAGGACTCTGTTGCGGCAACGAAATCTGATGCCGCCGCCGTTGTCCGGCGATCTTTTCGACTCATATCCGCTGTTCTATCAATGAGAACACTGTTCTTCTTATCAATCGCGTATCGAACATTATTCACGAGATGCCGGTGATAAGAACTGTCAACGAGCACGACACACTCGTAGCCCTTCGATCTATATCCACTGTTGCGTCCGATCGCTTGATGCATACGATCCAATACCAGCATGCGGCCCATCTCATTGCTGTCTTTGCCAAAATGCATCCCTAACGCATCGCAATAGGTTCGTACCTCATCCGGATGTGGAATGCTCAATTCGACAAGAATAGTGGTTTCGCTTAACTGGTTATTGCCTTTGTTGTTACTGTGGTTGAGCGGTGCCGCCAGTCCATTAGCAATGAGAATGTTGTTATATCCTTGTTTTTGTAGCAAACGAGAGATTATCGGGATGATGCCATCCTCCTTCCTGCGAACCTTTGAGGTGCCGAGAATCGTTATTTGGCCACCAGCAAGACGATTCATCTTGTCGTGAAGCACATACTCTTCGTTTCTATCAGTTAGTAATTTCTCGATTGCCTTCAGGGTTACGGACTCAGTCGTCGTGTATATGCACGTGTGTTTTCTCTGATTGAAGCCCAAAGATTGATTAGGAGGTCTTTCGTAGTATTGTCTGGCGTTGATGGTTTTAGTTTTATACTCCAGATTTTCCTCCTCTATTTCACGCCACCGAACTGGGTCATATCGCTCTATATCGATAACATCAGCAACATCGGGATCATCTATCCAGACAATCCTTTTACGTGGAAGGTACTGTTCCCGTTGCGAAAGAATCCTCAGCTGGGCATGCGTAGTTACAAGGAGACTCGCATTCTTTCCTGCGTGTTCCATCTGGAATCTGTCGTAGAGAGGATTAGCCGTTTCATCGTCCGGTTGATTAATCTCGGGAGAGTAGTCGCGAATATATAATCGATCCGCTTCAAAGAAGTTCCAGCTCACCCTTATCAGCTCATCACTAAGTTCGGGGTTGTTCTCCTTGAATTTTTGGACACTTTCTTCCTCCAGTATTTTGCCCATTTTGTATGGGCTGCTAGCCTTTTCACGTACCG